TAATAAGAGAATTGTCTTCCAAATGAGTCAATGATCTGTTCTCCTGTATGTATAAAATACACCTCACTGATGCGAGTAATTTACTCTTCAGACTCCAGTAATCTCTTGCCGAAGAAAACATGCTTTAGAAGAACACAAATAGAGTTCACTTCTGACTGTTTTGTTTATTATTTGTTTGTTTTATTTGGGTCTGTATGTCCTATCCCTTCACATCACACAAGGTACTTTTTTCTCTCCCTGCTCTGGCAAAGGTTTTTGCTAAATATTTTCCTTCTTGAGTGTTCATTATATATTTCCATAGGAAGGAAAAAATAGTTTCAAAGAACTACTTCTCTCAAGCACTGAACTTTTTTCTTTGTATTCTTTTCTGCACTGATTTGCCCTACCTCATTGCAGGAGGGTGTCTCTTAGCTAGGTTCTGTAGGACATTTATTCTTTCTATTGCTTTTCACAAATAGCTTTGATGACAAATACTTGAGAATGCTCACCTTACAATACAGAAAAAGGCTATGTTAGGATATAAGTATATTTTCTGACTAAAGAGCTATTAAGTACATAGGCATATTTGTGTTAAAAAATTTTAAATCTGATATATTTTCATGTCAGGTTTGGAATACTAGCTACAAATGTTCACTGCTCCAATAAAAAGCAGTTTCAATAAATAACAGCCCAAAATTAAATGCAGCTCTCTTGCATTTAGTTTGATTTATAGGAATTGGAACAATAATGCTGTTAAAATGCAGGTTGAAATAACTCTGCTTATCTCTAACGTCATTATTTCTTAAAGCAAACAATTTAGATAGAGAAGTCATCTGATAAAAATAATTAGTTCAGGCGAAATGGGACGCACATTCTTCTGCCAGATAATGGTTCAGCAGCTACTCTAACTTCAGTGGAACTTCATTAGACACAATTCTCATTTATCTTAAAATCTTACGAAAAAAGGCAAGTTCTTTATTTGTAAAAATTACATTATTTTAAAAGAAGTAAACAAATATAGGAGAATGGAATAAAATAACAGAATTTACTGGCTGTTATTCAATTCTTTAAAAAACATTTTTAGGGGACAGTAATGCCATATGTTTAGTTTCAGGACAAAGGCACCTTTTAAAATGAAGAGCTTAAAGAAAATTTATGAAGAAGTTTGTTTAATAGAAAGTAAGTGAACTAAGCTGTTGGTTCTAAAAACTATCTACATTACAAAATTATAAAATGACCACTATTTAATGAATGTTAGAATAATATTAGGCTAGTATTTAGTAAATGGCATCTTTAAAAAAAAAAAAAAGCAATTACAAGCAACTTCTGGAATTCACTTTGTGTAATATGTCCAGGAGGCACATTGTATTACTGCTTTTCTATGGTTTTCTGTGGTAGAGCTGATTTAACTTGGGAGTTAAGAAAACATATGTTTTGGAATGTTTCCAGGTAGTAGTTTTATGCACGACTACTGCTATGCAGTTAAAAACAAAAACATATACCTTAGCATCATACAATATTAATGAACTCATTTGGCAATTATTATTTTGCTTGAAAAATGACCAAGCTATACAGATCAGGAATGAAAACAATAGGGTTTCTTATTAATCTTATAAAGTGTTCTTTTAATAGTTAGGCAATTAGTTAAAATCCCCATGCATGTGATTCATTAATATTCATTTATATATTTTGAGTCATATGTATTTAAAAATTTCATATCATTAAATGCTATTAGCTGAGTATTGTGTTAAGGTTTTAAAAATTTATTGTAAACCAGTTGAGTTCATTTAAGAGAATATTTACATTTATGTTGCTTTTTAATGTCTTTATTTAAGAAACAAAGGCATTAAATTTAATGCCATTATTATTTTGCTAAAGTTGCAAACATTTTGTTAAAATGTTTTATGTGGTAATGAAAATAATTTCATAGATAATAAATCTTCGCTTTCTTGACTACTTTCTATTAATTTTAATTTCTTTAATAATATAAATATATTATTTATTTTTAAAAGAATGAGTTAGTATGTTTAGTTCAAAATCATCCTAATAAAAGAGTTTAAAATTTTCAACAGGATAGTGAACTATTTACTCGGCTTTAACTTGTCTGTCTTGTACATGATTTGACAGAACTAACTAGTGAAAACGAACCCAAACCAGAAATCAACAGGGAGAATAGTCAAGAAGGAAAAAGGAAGAGTTGCAGGAAATGATATTTTCCCATCAGTGGATAGGCATGCATACATTAAAGGCATAAAAGGCAGCAGGGGGAGAAACAAAAGCTGTATACTGAGGATTCTGCAAGTCTGAATTAACTAAATGGGGAAAAAATGAAATAATTCTGCTTAAACTTGTTCGCTAATAAAAGGAGAATTGCTTTTGTTAAATATGCTTGCTGTGATTATCAAGCAAAATTTTTTTTCTCCCAGACATCTATGAATAAAACATGTGTTTGAGCATTAGGTAAACAAACAATAAATGGATGAGTTCAGTTGCAACATAATAACATTTTATTTAGAAAACATATATAATCATATTTGTATTGGCAATCCAAATTTAATGACTTCTTTCAGTAAAATTAAAGTGCCTCACAAATAACATCTTATGCATAAGGATTGCTTATTCTTTGCCCATTTTTTTCTATTTTTTCAAAGAAACAGATTTTTAAGGTCTCTGCTGAATCATACACAAACCAGATGAAGCATGATTTCTCAGAGGAAAAAAATTCTCTTGAATCATTTTAATTTTAGGTTACAGATGTATAAAAATACATTTTAAAATACATTTCAGAGATGGAGGGAGAAAAATGTTAAGTCTGGTATAGCTTGGGCTGATTTGAACAAGGCTCTGTGTGTAGCTGAAATGCAGTCTTTGGCTTATTAGCCATTTCATTAACACATCTTCTGTAAACTATGAATGAGAAGAAACCATTTACAATAAGGAAAGCAAACAACAGAATGAATTTCCTCTGTTGGTGTTTTATAAGACTGTTAAACAGAAAATGGAGGGAAGAACTCTCTTTAGACGATATCACTTAATTAAGTAAAGCATCCTAATCAGAGTCCCCTCCAATTGTAATGACTGTAGGGAGTCAAGTACATTTCTGTCTGTATTAGCGTATCTAACTGCAATGATTTATTGATATTTATTTTAGAATACAACACAAAAGCAATAAAACAGGGAGAGAGGGAACCTGCCATGGCTTACTGCAGGTACAACCAGAGCACTCCAACACACTTCCCGATTTCCTCGTGGGAGGTTTTCCTTTCGAAAATCAGAGCACACCTTCAGACGAGAATGTTCCTTTCCTGCATTCTCCAAATATTCGCTGTGATGTTTCTTCATCCATTGGGTCAATCACTGATTCACTTTCTTCACTGTAAGAATCAGCACAAATGAGCGGATGAGCACCTGCAGTGACATGACTGGATTGCATTCTACACTGATTTTAGTCTTAAAACACAGCTTCTCTGTATTGGAGAAGGATTTGAGGAAGGAGAGTAAATATACTGTATAGGCAGACAGACATTGGCTGCCCTCCAAGCTGCACACAGCATTAACCTGTTTATCTGCCACATTTCACAAATCTCAAAAACATGTGAATAATCAGGCAAGCAACTGGATAAGTGATTCACACTAGGGAATCCAACCAGTATTCTGATGAGAGGGTACTATGAGCCTAAGACATTGGAGCAAATAGACTTGAATTGTAGAAACTGCACATAATAAAGTTGATTAGTGGTTCAAAGGAGAAAATAGTCTATGAATTTGAAGAGGTATCCAAACCCTGTGGACTTTGGTTGGGTATTTATGTGTAAGTTGTCTGTAGAATTGAGTCCAAAATTATGCTCTCATGCATATCACTCCAATAATGGGGCCATGTGTATTTCGATTTCATGTTAGTTGTCAAGATAATTTATTTCTGGACACCTGGATTTAAATATTAGAGGCTGGTGCCTTGAAACCCCAAGTTACACCAACATATATATTTGAAATTAAATTACCAAACTTGCTTAGAACCTATTCACTTTGGGGAAGCAAAATTTCCTTAGAAAGTTACATTCATTTTTAAAACTGAAAATGAATTTCTTGGTAATAAGGGAATTAGTCAAGCAAAGGTATAATTATTGCTATATTACTGCTTTATTTTCCTCTAAATTTTTCTTATTTCTTCCTCATTTGCTAACCTGTTAACCCCTCTTTTTCTTATTTCAATGGTTATTGTGCATTTGCTTGCAAGTGGAAGTTCTTAAAGGTTTTGGGGCTAACCTCAGAAGTATACTTTAGTTTTTAAGATCTCTTAAGATTGTTTATTAATTTCAGGCTTGGATTACTTCCATAAACTATACCTGGTTATAATCACAACAAGATAAATTATCTATTTGCTTGGTATGTCTGTCTATAGCTTCTACCATCTTACTACCAAGGAAATAAAGGTTTTCCTACATTTGCAAACAAAAAATATGACTACAAAAAACACAATCAATCATGCAAGACATATAAATTAATGTTTTACATCCCTCAACTTTTTTTGTGTGTGTGCACCGCAGAAAGGCAGATTGCTAAAAACTTTTTGATACTTTAAAACTTTGTTAGATTAGTAACCAAAGACATCATCATCTTAGCAACTGGAAGTCTTTTTTTTAAAAAAGTATGTTTTTATTGATTTTTAGACAGAGAGGAAGAGAGGGGGAAAGAGAGCTAGAAACATCCATGAGAGAGGACATCATCAATATGTTGCCTCCTGTGTGCCCACAAACTGGGCATGTCCCCTGACCAGGAATCAAACCTGCAACCTCTGGGTTCCTGAGTCGATGCTCAACCGCTGAGCCACACTGGCTGGGCTCAACTGGAAGTCTTGAAAAGGTAGGTGACCTGGAAATTGATATTCCAAATGAAATTTTGATATGTTCATGTTTCTTGATTAGAGCCTTGCTTCAAATAGGCCTACATTTGAGTTTATTTAAATTGTATCTACCAACTGTGTTTGTGGCATTTTCTCATCTTCTCACTTCTTGTCTCAGGTTCTCTTTCTTCAGGATCAGGCACTGAGACTAATTGAATGGCTCCAATGATCAGGATTTGAAAACCTGATATCAGCATTGACCACTTTGTGTGAGTCTGTCCTGAGCAGTCTCTTCTTTATTGACAGGACACTTGGCAGAATATGGGGGCATCTTTTCTTCTTCACTTACTCTTGGACTTGTAAAACATGATACAAAATTTTTCATGATTTTTAAGTCTATTGCATGGGAAATTTTGCCAGAAACACAAGATACAAACTAAAATGCATTCCTTAGAGGATATGTGCCGGTAAGTGTCAAAGGGAAGTTTGTGGGCAGTCAAAAGTGATATTAGAATTATTGACAACATCATCAATAGTTTGGAGGCTCAACACACTGATTTTTGTAATCACAGAAAGTTTCACTCAGGTTTCCAGGGGAGCTGGATTTTGAGTTTATGTCCACAAAGTTGAAGTTGGTTCTGCGAACCTCAATTAACGTTGACCATAGCTCTTAGCCATAAAGAATTCTTTTGGATGATTTTTTAAGTGATGGCTATTCGGAGTGTAAAATGATCACTAAACCCTATACAAGCTATACACCATAGGAACCTAAGAAATAATAGACTGGCTGTAAGTGAAAGTTTTAGTTATAAAAACAATACAAACAAAATTAAAAATTTAAAAAGTTTCTTTCCCCCTAGCTCCCTCAATCACATTCCCCAGTGGTAACCATTAATCATACTTTCTCATATATTTTAACAGACATTTAAAAAATTCATATGTAAGCATATCTTCTTTTTTTTATGATCCTCTCCCAAAGATATGTTTTTATTGATTTCAGAGAGAAAGGCAGGGAGAGAGAGAGAAAAATGTCAATGTGAGGAACATTGATTGATTGCTTCCCGTCTGTGTCCCGGCTGGGGATGGAACTCACAGCCTATTGGTGTACAGGGCGACATTGCAACCGATGAGCCACCTGGCTGGTCAAGCATATCTTCTTTTCTTTTCTTTTTATATATTTTATTGATTTTTTACAGAGAGGAAGGGAGAGGGATAGAGAGTTAGAAACATCGATGAGAGAGAAACCTCGATCAGCCGCTCCTGCACACTCCCCACTGGGGATGTGCCCGCAACCAAGGTACATGCCCTTGACTGGAATCGAACCTGGGACCCTTGAGTCCACAGGCCGACACTCTATCCACTGAGCCAAACAGGTTATGGCAAGCATATCTTCTTTTAAACCACAAATGAAATCATATACTATATTTACTACTGTGAACTTGCTTTTACTCAGTTAGCAATGTATTTTGGCTACTGTTCCATGCCCTACACGTTCTTACAGAAGCTGCACAGGATATTAAGTAATATGCTATTATGAATATAACCATTCCATATTGATGGGTAGATATTTAGGCTATTTTTTAGTCTTTTTGCTTTTTCAAATAATATTTTGGCAAACATATACATATTTTTGGTACTTTTATAAGTGTATTTGTAGAATTAATTGCCTGAAATGAAATCAACATATAAGAACACATTGACAATTTTTGAATATTATTGCCACAACAAAAGAGGTTCACCAATATACCTTTCACTGATAGTTTTTGAGATCAGTTCTGTGTGTGACATACGGTATTTGCTTGCCATTCCATCTTTTTAAAATTGACTAAACATAGTCCAGTGGCAGCTGGGATGACCTAATGGAGAGATAATTTGAATCCTCTATGGCTATGTGCTAGGATAGCAGCGTGGCTGGGGAGGGGGCAGCGTGGCTGAGGAGGGGGCAGCGTGGCTGGGGAGGGGGCAGCATGGCTGGGGAGGGGGCAGCGTGGGATGGCGAGGGGAAGAGCTGAGGAGTACCACAGCCATCAGTTTAGGACCCAGTCTGAGTTTTCACAAGGCTCCTTGCTAGCGGCCTTCCTGATAAGAGTGGGGCTGCAGAGCAGAATCAGGAGCCATTCACACAGTCTCTCCCTCTGCTCCGGTTCTAATCCAGATGTGCATTTACTTTTAGTCTCTCTTGGGTGGGACTTCATTGAATAAAATATAAAAAGATTAGCTGCCTTGCCACAGAAATGCAGCTCCATGAATTTCCCAGAAACCACATTAAGGTGGTTTGAGGAAAAGTAGTGGGATAGAATTAGATTGTGAGAATTCTCAGATTACTTCCATGAACTGAGATTATGAGGTTATAAAAGAGGTAGAAAATAAATAACTTGTGAGAAAAAAAATGTTGATGATGATTTGATGATTGTAAAAGACAGTGTCAGGAGATGGTTGAAGGGTGTTACGGTCATCACACAAACCACGGGGACTGAAAAGGCCGCTGGTGGATGTGGGTGATTTTACTTCTCTACCCATTTCTGCTCTGCATCTCCTCACTACTACGCTGTCCCTGCCTTTCCAGCTCGTTTTAGCCAGTTCTATACATAAGGTTGTGCGAAATGATAAGCCCTTCTTAGCCAGGAAGCTATTGGCAAGGGAGTGGAAACGAGGTGGGTGAGTATGAAGGCAGGGGACACAATACCTTTGCTTCACTAGTTTCCTTAATTGCTCCCTCCTCCCTCATATCGTTTAGTCTCTCAGCTGGTCTCCAATCAGTTTTGGGGAAAAGCATCTGAAAAACCCTGGTGATTTAGGAGCAAGACTTGCAGATGCGATAAAGTGACCATGCACCATATCTACCCTCCACCCAGTATCAGTTCCCTTTTTGAAGTGCTAGTGAGTCATTATTTTTATGCGATTACCACACAAATGTGAACATGTTCAGCGAGCTATTGCCAGCAATCAGGGCCACTTGTTACATAACATCAGTGAGAGGGACGCAGGTGGGAAACAACTCTGATTATAGATATTTAGCCCAAATGTACATCAGTTGTTACTCCTTAAATGTATTTCTTTTAGTAGCTAATTGAAATACTTTATCAGTGAAAGTCTTGACACAACAGTTACACAAACACACATGTGAGAACATGGGGAAATTAAATAAGACTTATAATATACACCTTAACAAAATGATGGCTTAATTTGTGCTCCCTTTGTAATTTTAACTAAATATTGTGGTGAGTAGTTCTTACTTTAAATCCGAAGTATATGGGCATTTATTACACACACTATGAAAATGCTTCAGGAGGCTTGTGATTAACTCCGTGGTATTCAGGCACAGTTTATAAAGACTTTCGATCGAAGACAAAAGGCCCACGTGGATGATGAAACTCATGAAAAAGATGTACGTGCACCACCAAGGACTTCATTCAGACTTGCTCATCTCAGCGCAGTTCTAGCTCCCGACTCACCAGCAATGTCCCCGAACAAGCATTCTCTGCACCTGGCCCATGGCTGCCATGTGGAGTGGCCCCTAGGGTAGGGTCGCCAGGTTAAATATATGATGCCTCATTACATTTAATTCCAAATAAACAATGAATAATTTTGACTATAAATATATCCTAAATATTCCATGTGACAGACTTTGGCAGACACATACCCTAGTCTTATGTGCTTACCCTCTGAGACAAGATGCCATACAGGTTTGAAACTCCCAAATCCAAAATTTCAACCTAGCCCCACTGGATGCTGCCTCGCCTTCTACTGCTTAGGCCTGCTTCCTCCTAGTGGAGCATTTTGTGCAGATTGTATGTTTTCAAATAATTTTTAAACATTAGTGGTTTATGGGACATTAGCTGCCTTGCCATCAATTGCAATACAGAGAAAATCCTAAAATCAACTTTCTTCTCTGCTAATTTTTCAGAGGCACGTCCTTAAGATTCGGTGCTAAAATTTAAAAGGGTGGACAGATGTGGAATGAGATAGGAGGGTTCCTTCAGACTCAGTTTATGCCCCTGCATTGATCTCTTGGGTTGTGATAAATTTAGATACTCAAAGCTTTATTTACATTTTTCTAAATCAAGCTAAATACCACCATTACTAAAATCCAGCAACTAAGGAAGTGGAACAGCAGTGTGGTACAATAAAGATTAAAAAATGTAGGGCCCGCAGATTTGAGATTGAGGCCTGAACGCGCTGTGAGATCCTAGGCAAGTCATTTAGCCTCCATGAGCCTCAGTGTCCTTCTCCATAAAATGGGGATGGTAGGGCATCTATGAAGAGAGGTACTGTATGTAGAAATTATTTGTAAACTTCATGTTCAATCTAGAGATGTTTTCAGTGGTGATGATAATGAAGATGATAGCCAAGTCATAAAGAAACATAAAAGTCAGTTATCAAAGAGATATTTTATAGAGATATTTTCATTCAGACAGAAATTTTTTATTACTCAGTTCACAAGAATTATATACATAAGAGTATTATTGAGAAAAGAAAAAAACACCAAAAACTATCCTAATTCATTATACTTTTAGAAGAAAGCTCACTAAAAGCTTTTTTGTCTAAAAATGGGATGTTTTGGAGCAGAATATTGTATTTCTTTAGGATCACATTGGAAAATAGATAACAGAGAGGCACACTGAGAAACATTTTCTTTAAGGCCTTTTACTTTTATTTTGGGTCAGCACTCATTATTTTGTAACAGCCTCAGACACATTATTATTATTATTATTACTATTATTATTATTATTTTTTTTTTAAATATATTTTATTGATTTTTTTTTTACAGAGAGGAAGGGAGAGAGATAGAGAGCTAGAAACATCAATTAGAGAGAAACATCGATCAGCTGCCTCCTGCACACCTCCCACTGGGGATGTGCCCGCAACCAAGGTACATGCCCTTGACCGGAATCGAACCTGGGACCCTTCAGTCCACAGGCCGACGCTCTATCCACTGAGCCAAACCGGTTTTGGCATATTACTACTATTATTATTATTTAGCATAACAGCTTGGCGTTCTTCTCATAACAGAGAAGGCTTTCATGAGGGTTGGTGTGCATCCATTTTCTCAGGGATAAAGCAGAGGGAACAAAAGGAGAAATGGGACCAGAGGCCTCTCGTGCCCTCTGAGCACTTGTGTCCTATGATCAAGGAGCAAGTGAAGCCCACAGAAGGACTGAGCCCTCATGGCACCAGACGACAATTCTGAATAAAGAGTATTTATCCTTGTTTAATTTTACTTCACTTTTTAACCACACAACCAATATATATGAGTTCTAGAAAACCA